GGGTAAGCCGTATTAGTCCAGTAGAGAAGATGTATAAAAAAACAAAAACAAAACGGAGTATTGTAGTATGCGATGATACCTTTCTTATTGGACTAACAAAATATATAAAAGACAAGCTTTCGAGAGTTAACCTCTCTTCTTCAGGTCAGAAGCAATACTAATCAACATGACAACGTTTACCACTTAAAACAAGAGAAAGTTGTTAGTTGTTAATGTGGATTCTGGTTTTCTTACACACTACCATTTTATGAATATACAGAACATAATAATATTCATGTATGTTGTATATCCCTGATCTGTTTAGGATTTATTGGTCATCCTATATTTGTTCTGTGTTCTAGTTATCAGGATACATTCTTTACTCCCAGGTCCTAACAACTTTCTCTTGTTTTAGGTGGTAAACATTGTCATGTTGATTAGTATTGCTTCTGACCTGAAGAAGAGAGGTTAACTCTCGAAAGCTTGTATTTTATTTATTTTGTTAGTCCAATAAGAAAGGTATCATCGCATACTACAATACTCCGTTTTGTTTTTGTTTCTATCTATCTATCTATCTATCTATCTATCTATCTATCTATCTATAAATAGATAGATAGATAGATAGATAGATAGATAGATAGATATTTATAACTGTTTATTTTATACAAGCACAGTGTGATTTGGGAATCTGATATTTTCAAAAACTGCTTTACTACTAAAAAAAATATAATATTGGGTGTAAGCCTTTTTTGTTTCCCTGTCTTTGTCTTTGCATTAATTTTAAACCAACAGAAAAAAAACTCTGTAGTTGAAACAATATATATTTTACCTTTTAAATTTCTAGTATTATAAAATATTTGATGTTATTAAAGTCACTCAATAATTTCACTTAAATAGATTCCTTAAAGCAAGTAGTCAACCGGAAAATGACTAGGCACTTCATTAAACAGCGTTGCTGAAAAATGTTACACCACCCTACAAATGTAACATAATGCTAACATATTTTAACAGCTCTATTGACTTGAATTGATTGGACATAATTTCACATACTGATTTCTACTTTCTACAATGCAGGCTTTGATTGTGCCTTCCCTGTAACCACAACTTTAAAAAAAAATATAGAGCTTTTTTATTTTGATTAATCTAAATCTAGCCTTTGTGTAAAAATAATTTTTAAAAAGTCCATTTCTCTACCTTGAGCTTTCTGACAACTACTGGACTAGTACACAAGTGCAATACAAGGAGGAGCAAACTGGACAAAGTTCGGTTTGCTGAATGATCAACAAACCAAGTGTGAAGTAAAGTTTGCAAACCCCAAACATAGCATCTAACCTTATTGAAGTCTATGGGAGCCTTTTCTGGCCTTTTCCATGGCTAATTTGGTAAAAAAAGGAATGGGTAGCTGGGCACTGCCATGGGAGACATGTATCATTGCAAAAAAAAAAAAAAAATGCAGCAGAAGGAGGGTATTTTAATGTGGCTTGAAGGGCAACATAAAAAATATTAAAATTCTTTCAATAACATCCTTGAGGGATGCGTTAAACCTGCACATGAAGTTGTTGGCATTACAAAAAAAAACATTAAAAGTGACTGGTTTGTTTACAAACAGCAGTCGGGGATCTGTCACTGCAGTAGCAATAACACCCCTAAATGACAAATGCCTGGCCAACCTCTGTTAATAAACAAAGACTTATCGGAATCTACAAGCCACTTTATAATAAGGGGGGCTGCAATTATCCAATCCCCACAAGGGTAATGAGTATGGGTTACACTTTCTTTGATTAAAAAAATGGAAAAAAATGGCATTGGGTTCCCCCTAAAATCCAAACCAGACCCTTATCCGGGTAGGCAGCTTGGGAGACCAAGAAATGGAGGGAACCCCTTTCCCCTCTTGAACCATACCAGGCCACATAACTTCAGCAAATCCTTCTTCCTTGCAAGGCACTTTGTCCCCTGTTCAGGGGACAATAAAAACACCTTTATTTGAAAAAAAAATCATGACCATGTTTGGTCAAGACTTTACCCAGGATTTGTTTACAAACTGTCATCTGTCATTTTGTGATAGTAGTACTAGCAGAGATATGCATTCAACCAAAAACAGTTAAGAGTTATCAGAAACTTTTGCATGTTCTAAGACAGACCTAGAGGGAGTGTGCATTGTTAAGAACAGAGAGCATGTTATTAGACAAAGCTGCATGTTTACACAAAGAGCTGTTGTGTTACAATAAAATGCAGCATGTCACTGGGTGTTAGTGGAGCATCCTTGTTTTACCAAAGAGAGCTGTCATATATTACAGAATAAAGGTAGCAAAGGAGTGTTGTATGTAACCAGAGAGATTTGCATGCTACGTAAGAGTCACCACAAAGAGATGCATGCATGTGAAATAGCTGACCTTGGTGATGCCACAGTGAATGACATTACTCCAACCCAGTGAGGTATTGTGTTATTTACATATGCTGAATCTCATTATGTGGTCCTGGTAGCTCTTGAAATGTCATCAAACATTACTAGACAGAGCTACAGAGGATGCACATTTATCAGTGCACTTACTACTGAGAGAACATAAACCACTTATCTGTACATGCTGCTCAAAAATGAAAGATAACATTACTTCAGGTGCATCTGTCAGCTTTAAGTTAACTTCTGCAGTATACTTCTTATTTTATTTAATAGGTAATCGCAGACAACAACAAAAAAGTGTTGAGTAAGCTACGTAATCTGTTTACCATACACTGTATTTACTTTTATATATCTGTTACATAATGCCTCGAAGGGTAAACACACAAAGCTCCAAACAGCATCAAACGGAGACTGCAGTAGCAATATATATTTCTCTCTTTTTACTACATCACCAATCATATTCAAACTTCCATGGCAGGTTTGAATCTGATTGGTTGATGTGATTGTCATTTAGTACCGGTATGTTTACATCAAGATTTTTGTGTAGGAAGATGTAGCAAGGAAGATGTTTTAGCATTACCAACCGGTGTGTTCCAGGATCACCAGAATACAGACTATGTGAGTGTGGTGGACTGGTGCAGTGGAACAATGTGTGAGTGTGTATAAAAACAAAATTGAACTACTTAGTGGGTGAGCAATGTTCTCTATATGCATTTACATATTTTGCTTTCAATTTTTGCTGCAAAGTACCTTAAGGCAAAATAAACTTTGTGGAAACAAAATTCAAATAAAATTACTTGTCAGATGTGCATGCACCAACTGCCATCCAAATGCTGCCAATACAGACAAATCCTGGGCCTTTCTAATGGTCAAAGTTCCAGCACTTCACGGTAGTGCCAAAGCCAGCTCATCCCTTCCTGACTCCTGCACATATTTCTACTGGCCAGTGAGGCAGCCTATCACAGTGATTGGCCTATAGGTATTTGTGGAACAGGATGTAGTAGCAAATAATATTTGCATGTCAGGCAACAATTTTAAGCAGGTACTCAGAGCCACAAAACACTAGCACCAGCACCACAGAAATTATACCATCTATAATGTAGGTTTTTACCTATCAAGGTCATTTTTCTGCCTCTCGTAGTTTCGAAGCACTCTCAAAACCTGGACATCTTGACTGAGAAAACAAGGAGGAAGAAGGCCATGGATACCCAGTTGTAGTCTCTCTTCCAGAGAGAACGCCATACCCTGAAACATGAATAAACCCACAATAAATGAATTGTTTTAGAGAAATCAAAAGAAACTCATTAGTGGTGTATTTTTAATTTTAACTTACAAATCTACTTCAGTGATTGATTAATAACCAACAAAACATTATACTGTTTTATTATTGGTTTCATATGTGTGAAAAGAAAACAAATCAGCCAGAGATATGTGACATTTTAATCATTCAAATATAAAGAAAACCAATAGTGTCAACCAACAAACATTTAACACTGCCTCCACATTCCAAATGTTCCGTGACCGAGTTTGAAGATTTTTGGTGTTTCCGCTTTTAGTACAACCTTAAGTGACACTAAACTCAGGAGTTAAATCTTAAAAATACATTCAAGTACCTTAACTAATAACAAAAATGTATCTTATTTGTGTATCACTCGGCTGTAGATCCTCAAATCATCTCTGAATTGGTGCTGACACTGTCCTTCCCACTGTCCTTCCTTCTGTTTCCCATGGTCCCTGTGTGTGCTGTAAAGTAGCCACCACTCCAAGCTCACTCCTGTGATGGACTGCAATCTCAATACAAATTAGTAAACTAAACATGAGATTATAGTCCATCATGGGAGTGAGCTTGGAGCGGCGGCTACTTTTCAACATACACAGGGACCATGGGGAACAAAAGTAGCTACCCTCCAGATTATAATAATGCTTCTCTACACATCAATACCATCTTTATATTTTATGTGAAGATAATTTACATATTTTCTAAACTTGTGTTTACCAATGAACTTTGTTTCAACTGCTCAAGAAACAGAGGGCCATAGTCTCAAATGCTATTCTTTTCAGACTAGGAAACAAGTTGCCCATTATTCTATTTTTCAGAAATTGATACTTTTGTCCTCCGGGGAAAAGTGCTGGCCAAATACAGTACTTGCATAGTGAAAAATATATTTTATTTAAAAAAAATAAGTAAAGAATGCATTGTTTAATTCCAACAAATACTGACCATGTACAGAATAGTTCTACTGAAACCTTCCACAATGACTATGTGCAAATATCTTCTGCAGTACAATTAATTTAACAAATTAATCTATATCAGCTCCTTAATTATGTTTTCCAAATTTCACACACTGAACATATGAAAGACTATAGTAAAATAATGAATCTAGAAATTATGTTTGTGCTGAAAGGATGATCACCTGGTGTGTCACAGTCATAAACAGTTACATATAAAAGTGTGCTTTGCTTAAGGCCTCACTCATAGGTGTTTTTAGGGCCAGCAGTGGATTCCTGTAGCAGGAATCAGCAGATTTATATTGCAATAATCAGAGGATTCATGTAGCAACAATCAGCAGATTCTTGCGGCAGCAAACATAGGTGGTTCTGGACAGATTGCATCCACGGTTGGTCTTCTGTCCCTAGCCGCAAGTAACCCATGGATATGCAGATACATCTTAATAGCAGTGGACAGCTGTGGCTCCTGTCAGCCTGTAATTGCTTGGTTCAGGCTGTGCAGCCTCAGCTGTCTGAAACCACCTGTAATTCCAGCCCCAAGAATCTGCTGATTCTTGCCACAGGAATCATCTGCTGGCCCTAAAAAGAATGAATGTAAATGAAGTCTTAGTTAAAAGTAAAACATGCTTGTATTCTTAAAATGTTAAAAGTCAGAAACACTTTACAAACGTTCTCCTTGCTCAGGGACCCATGCAAAGGAAACCTATGATTACTAATAGGGAATGTAGAGTCACTACACATAAAGAGTGTTCATTTTTGCATGGCACAGTACAAAGTAAGGCCAGCAGTAAAACATGTGATGTGTATAGGTGAGCCACATGTATTTTCATACTTCTAGTACATTGGTTGCCAGGATGTCACTTTTGGAAGTTGTTTGTGCAAACCCATACACAGCTTAGACTATTACAGTATCAAAGCACACTACCTGAGTTTAAAGATTATACATACACATACAAAACATGCAAACACAAGCATCCCAAGATATAAGCACTTAAAGATTTCAGATACGTTCAATATTGTAACTAGGGTTGCACAGATACTTTTCGAGTACCAGTGCAGATACTTGGCATTTTCATGAGAACTACTAGGGTTGCAGGGGTTGCAGCTGGGACCTGGCTCTGGCACTCCCCCACTGTCCTGAAATCATTAGTTTGTATTGATTTAGAAAAACTGTCACATGACAATAAACAAAAATGTATCAGTACTCATACTTGTAAGTACTCTGCAAGTACCAGTACTCGTACTCGCAAAACTGGTATCTGTGCATCCCTTTGTTTATATTTATAAAAACACAATCGTACATTAAAACAGAGATGTACTAATCCCAGGAGCTCCCTGTTCTCCTTACAAATGACAGCTGCCTCCTAATTTTTGAATTTGTCTCTAGTGTAGTCTTGGAGCTCAAAAGTATCGGTACATGTACTCGTACTTGTACCGAGTACTGTACTTGGTATCTGTGCAACCCTAATTGTAACACCTCCCAACCATACTTTAGTCAGTGGGCACAGGCGTAGTTTGGCTTAGGGTCAAATCATCCCACAGTAGGCACAGTACAGACAACAAATTATTTTGGTTGTTTTGTCTAGGTAGGAATTCAGAATTGTTGTTTTGTCTAGGAATTTTGCATATTAGCATTCACAGCTCACATAGCATCAGAAAATCATTAACAGATTATATTTAGTAACCAAACTAGCTTCATTATTAGAATTCATTTAAAAGTTCGGACTGGCTCACTTCTTTTAATAAATTTTTATAAGTTCCAAAAGCCGTTTGACAGCCAAGTTTTAAGAAGTAATTGCCTTATAAAACTGCTCATGTTCCCTTATTTTAGCTCAAAATTCTTTCAGCCTTGGAGCAGCCAGAAACAGAGATTACTATGGTTTACTTCAAGATGAATTTCCACCAGCATGGCTGCCAAACTCAAATTCTTTGCATTAAAGCAGACCTTTACCCATAGCTTTAAAACAACAACAAACACACCTTTAGAAATGTTTAGTAATGACAATCTACAAACACATACATATAGATAATTGCAGGCTTTGTATTCTTGTATACCCTATCTGTTTTCTTCCCCAGTCTTCTGACTGTGGCCATGTTTACTAAGGGCAGATTACTAGCTCTCCTTTCACTTCCTAGATTTCTGGCACATATGACTAGACATGTGACTAGGACATCTGACCATGCACATCATCCCAGGGGAGGAAAATGCCTTTCCCTGAGATCTCCTGCGATAACAGCTGAGATTTCCCCAAAATGCTCTGCTGATGACAAGGCAATCCCAGTGTGCACTGCTTTTGCAAACTGAAGCCATTTTGCCCTTTCAAAGCAGGAAGTGAATGCTGTGCAAGTATTTCAAAATCACACCATTTTACTCCTGACATGTCTATGTTATTATTAATCATCATACACAGATGGATGCATTGGTAGAATTAGATTTTTGAGTGTAATGGTCCGCTTTAATAGTATGTTTTTTTTATCATCATAGAAATCGAAAATTGTACCCTTCTCTTGGCAGGGCGAAAATCAAATTATGCTGCAGTGCAATAGAATTACCAGAATTGTAGAGGTCTGATGATGCCTCTTAAATTGCGTTTTGTAAAGTGCTTGAAAATTAGTGGAAACTGCCACAAAGAAAAAATGTCACTGCTAGGTATGAGAGAGCCAATAAAAAAATCCCACTTTGGCTGGTCTGTGAAAACTGGATTAAAAACTCGATTTGCCTGTAAATACCCACAAATTGACAAACCACTAAATATACAGGTCTATTCACAAAAGGGTGAAGAGTTTGGAGAAGGCAGGAGAAGCGGACAATCTAGGACAACATAGCTGAACTGGAAAGTGAGCTGAGTTGGAGAATTTTTCCAAATCAGCTATGTTGGCCTAGATTGTTCGTTTCTCCTGCCTTCTCCAAACTCTTCAACCTTCTGTGAATAGACCTGATAGTTATTGTGGCATCTGAGGTTTTCCATCTGTAGAAGGGGTTGCTGGATCAATTTCCCAACAGTCTGCACTCTCTCTGTACATTGAATTGTGCCTTAAAAAGTTTAAATAATTAAGATGCTGAAATAGATGGAGGAAAGTGCCTTTGCTAATGGGGCATTTTCGATATTTGCTTTATCGACTGCCACTTTTTATTTGTCCTGCCATGTAACAAAACCTGTAGACACAGCGATTTATGAAAGCAGTTTTCCAAAAGCACAGATCCTGTAGTCTAGGTATGCTGTTATTGTAGGGAATGCCACTTGCAGTGTTAAAACAGAAATTACCTTTTATACTTCTAGGAATACAGAAACATTTTCTCTCCTACATTGTAAATTAAATCAAATTGTACTAACATCTCCCACAACAGCAGCCACTACTCTCTCCCACCCTTCTCCAAATCCACCTAGACTTAAATGGAAGCCCTCTTCTATGTGCTGAAGTTTTTATATATGTGAGAGTTAACATTCAGCTTTGCTGATTTGCTGCTACAGAAAGCAGGACAGCTGCTGTCTGAGTCAAAGTAGATGATAGAGAGGTCACTAATGTCACAACAGACACATGGGTGACTGTAGAATGGTACAAATAGTGGTGGCATGGCAAAGGGGTCCCCAGCATGCGTTTGAGGCTAGCTAGCAAATGAAACTAATTTATTTCAAATACTCAGGTTAAAAAACAAAGGTTTGACTTGTATGCATTTCCAAATACATGTGGAAGCAACACTGCCATGACAAAGCACTTCTAAGTCACTATGTCTCTAACTCTAAACTATCTGAGTTTTACAACTATGGGACACATATAGCAATGTACAAACTAAAAACAGGCTTACTTAGATGGAGCTCCTTAAAGGTATAGTAGCACACCAGAAGCCTTTACAAGGCAGCTGACTTCTAGTGTGTGGTTGCACCAAATTAAAAAAAGCAATAATGGCAGACTACAGATGAACCTACTCTTTGTTTGTGCAAAAGCATGGCTTCCACAAGTATTTGCAAATGTGTGTATTGAAACCTGAGTACTTAAAAAAAACTATTTTTTGT